ATTTTTGTTTTTGTTACTTTATTTTTTGTATGCTTTAAATTTTTCTTATAATCATCACTGAAATTGATATTTTATGCCTTGTTTTTATTTTTTTTAAAAATTTGTAGTCAATGTTTTACATCTCTTTATCATTTAAAAAAAGGAAACACCATTGATTGTTTCCTTTTCTCTAACTTTCTTTAGTGCTGTAATTTTCTTTTCAAAACAAAAGTCTATCACAAATCAACAACTAGACTATGCAATTAAAATCTTTTTAATCTTGCTACAATAATATATCTTATATATAATATTCAAAATCTTTATTTTATCTTTAAATTTTTTGTAATATTATCGTTGCATTTATCATATTATTTTTTTATTCTGTTTTATGATTCATTCTTCCTTATATTAAAGAGTAAGTTTTTCTTCTCTATTATGACGAAGATATAATCACCATTGAGAGTTTTTAAGAATATATGAAAAGGGACCTAGCTTGTAAAATTAAATTAAAAAAAAAGTAGCAAATGATGCCAAAATCAAAAGATGCACAATATCGCCAAATTGAAAAAAAAGTGGCCAATCTTGCCAAAATCAAAAGATGCACAAAGAGCGCCAATTAAATTAACAAGAGGCATAAAATGAGCCCATCAAAAGCAAGCTCCTTCCCTTTTAAAATTTTTAAATCTTAAAAGAATTCATGTGTCACTTGATAATTTTTCAAAGGCTTGACTTCAGAATTCTTGATCGTAACTAATTACTTTGATATATTATGTTATAAAATATTTGTCTGAAAACCAAGTTTTGAATGGATTTCTTTTCTTATCCAATTATTTTTTTTATTTAGATCTTTGTTCTCAAAAGAAGTTTTTCCTTGGGAGAAGTCCAAGGTAGGGATAACAGGATCGATTGTGTTACCATTTTTTCGGATTCTGACGATGTTAATTCATTGACTTATAAATTGTTGCGGATATATGGTTTATGATTTTGATGATAAAAAACATTCCTTATTTCTCTCATATTTCATACCTTGATCAAAAAAAAAAAAAAAAAAAAACTTTGTTTGTTTTTATCATTTTCACTTGATTTATACTTTGTGTCTATTTTCCTCCTCCTTTTGAGATGTGAAAAGTGGGAGTAGTGTATTCTATTCTGAATTTTGAAACTGTTGTTTACACTGCTTCCAATTCATTATTTCAATACTGCTTCTAATTCACTATCTTCATTGCTTAGATTTTCTTGTGTGTTTATCATCATCAAAAAGGGGAAGAATGTTGCGTATCTGATTTTTATAAATAGAATTTTGATGATTACAAACACTTCTGTTTTACTATGACTAGCTTGCCAACGAACATTTTAGGTACATAGGATCAAGAATGCAATTTGAAGCATCTCAAGATTGGGTAGATTAGGTGTGAGTCAGTTTGTAATGTATTTTTTCCCTTTCTTGAGTCAATTGTAATATTTGCAGATGGCTGATGCTAAGTAACCCTGCACACACACACTTGGGTCAATTTTTCCTGTCTGATTTAGAGTTTTTTTATTTTACTAATATTGTCACGGACGATTCCAAAATTGTCTCAGACAATCGGTTAAAATAAAAAACTCTAATTAGGGCATCTTGGTTAAGACAGTCGTCTTTAAGCAGATCGTCCTGGACAATATTTGTATCTGCTGGGACGATATACTCAAATCGGAAAGAATTAGCCTCCAGATCTATTTAGGAAGTTTTATTTTTTTAATTATTATCCAAGATATCGGCCTAGACGATGGGGTTCAATTATGTCTAAATTGATCCGTGATTAAGGAAATTAATTAAGAATGATTAATTAGATCATATCATCCTGGACGATCGCAGGATCGGCCAGGACGATCATTTCAAAAACCTTGATTGCTTTTGGATGACCAAAATCGTACATCATCTATTCAGAATTATATTCATGATGATATTCCCTGATTTGTAATAATCATACAGGACGATATATTACCGTCCTGGATGATAGGAACAAAAAATCTTTTAATCGTCCCAAGTCATCCTGGCTGATTGAGCTTAATTTATAATGATCGTACAGGATGATAGCAATATCGTCCTGAACGATAAAGTCGGTTCTTGAAAATCTATTTAAAGGACTCGTGTTTTCTCAAGCTCAAGGATCTTTTGATTTTGTCTTGATCTGAGAGAGTATAGAGGAGAGGGAGACAGAGGGAGAGAAAGGGAGGAACTTGTGAGGGGGAGCTTGTGATGAGTTTCTCAAGGGTTGCTCCAATCAAGGTTCCAAGGTGTCTTCTCCGATCGTCCTTCCTCGTTCTTGGAGGCTCAAGAGAGGTCTTCTTTAGCAATTGATCGAGATTCTCTGCCTGCTTCAGGAGGAAGCAAAAGGAGTTGGGTTCTCTGTCCGCTTCAAGAGGAAGCAAAAGGAGTTGGTTCTCTGCCGCACCGAGGTTGGTGGAAAGAAGTTTTTGTAAGGGCTTCTCCACTTAGGTGTGGGGGCTAAAGGAGAGACACTAAGTTAGTGCAATACTCGGAGGGTGCCTCCGAGGAGTAGACGTAGATCAAGGTTTGACCGAACCACTATAACTCCAGTATGTTCTTTCTCTATTTTTACTTACGCATTTAATTTCCGCATTCATTATTTTTTTGTAGTGGATTGTGTTTTGGTTTAAGTTCGTGATTTTAATTGAAAAGTTTTTAAAATACCAATTCACCCCCATTCTTGGTTAGCCTCGAGACTAGTTCATAAGGGCTTAACATCCATAATAAAATTTCAGTGGGCTTAGAACTGCCATGACAAATATTATTAGTTGACTCACTATATTGTGTGGATAGAATGCCCTTGTTAAAATAATCCTTATTGAATGCAGTAGACCATTTATTCCTTATCTTATAAAGATCCTCCAACCACCCATTATTGTGAAGGTTCCCTTCTGTAATCATTTGAGACGATGTTTTTTCAAACTCCTCTTCAGAGTCACATTTGCTGAAACACTTATGGAAGAGGCCTTTAACTTTGTTGTTGCTATTGAAGCATAATACTTTTGATGGTGCTTTTTTATGGATATGCCATTGGCACAATTTATGACAAGTGTTCGGTAATGCAACTTCTAAGGCCCTTGCCATTGGCTGGTCTTGATCCGTAAAAATTATTTTGGGATGTTTATCACCCATTATGAGTAAAAAAGTTGTGAACAACCACGCAAATGATTCAATCATCTCTTCTAACAAGAAAGCCACCCCAAGAAAAATATTTTTCCAATGATTATTGACCCCGAAAAATGGTGCACAAACCAAATTATACTTATTAAGTCAATAACCAGTATAAAAAATTACCACATCACCAAAGCAGTCATAATCGATCCGACCAATGCCATCAACCCAAAAAAAATTAACAATATATCAAATTCATCAATTTGGACATCCCAAGTGAACATATTATCATCAACTTGACGATCTTTAAATAACTTAATCAAAGAATTAGTATCCCCAAATTCAATCTTTGTTCTTTTCTCTTTATGAATAAAGTTGTATGCATCCCTCTTAGAGAATCCAAGGTTCTAAACACCTCCAACTTCATTAACAAGGTAGGTATATGCATCAATAGTTCTTATCCTGGCCTTTGTTATTGATTTAAGAACTGAAGCTTTAACATCGCACAGATCCCTACATGATATAAGAAGATACCGGTCTTTTAGCCTTGACAAATCATGATTGTAGGTTTCAATGAATTTTTTCACCTTCCAATATTCAGCTTCATCCACTGTAAATCTAATCATTGCTGGACAACCTGTTCTGGTGTCTGATCTATGATATTTCAATTAGAAATTAAGATCAGTCATCTTCTTGAAACTAGCTTTGGAACAAACAAAGTCATTGGATTTAATTTTTCTAGAATTTAACCAATAACTATGATGATCCTTATAAATACTAAAGCCAATATTATGGGCATGATTACAGTAAGCCTCGTATGCCTCATTCTCATTCTCATAAATATCATGATAAATTATAAGTAAATTAGTAAGAAAAAGTAAATAAGCACTCCATACGCATAAACTACGCAGTAGATACACACATTGTACACATAAAATATGCAGTATGTATGCACATATTACGCATAACATATGCAGTGTATACCATAGAATAGCACAACTTACGCAGCATATACGCACTGAATACACAACATAGGCATAAAATAACCAGTTTATAAAACACAATATACATTCCTTTTTTTCAACGTTCTTTCACCGCTTTTCATTGTATTTCAATAATAAAGTATCTAGACACAAAGAACTCAGTAATTTTACATGCAAAACATGTTGTAGTGGACAAATATGCTTGTTTCAAAGAAAACTTAGAGGATTTGAAACTATACGATATGTTGAATTCTACATTTTGTAAATTTATCTTTCCGATGGCTGCACTTCTTCTTTTATCTGTTCTGCTTCTTTGACGTCTTCATGCTTGTTTTCGACCGCCGCGTCCTCTGAGAATATTGTATTATCGTAAAAAGGAATGTCATCCTCAGGTCAATCTTCATTTTCATCGACATTTTTTCTGTTCTTTGTTAATTCCTGAGCTTGCCCGAAAATTTTCGCTAAATCTTATATAATGAAGAGCTTCGCGGTTGAAATCTAAAAAAAAATAGCGGCAACCTTAAATTGAACTGTGCGGATTTCGAATTTACGTGTTGAAGCCACGTCAGAATTTCCCTGAGAAAATTGTGAAATCATTTTCCACGTAGACATGCCACGTGTTACAACTTTAGTGGCGTCTGAATGCATTACCACGTCTAACGCACCAAATAAGTGGTTGTCATCAAGAGGGGCTTGGTCTACTGTACCCGCTGTAGGGCGAAAATACGAACAATAATATAATGCAGAGTTAACATTTACAACAAAGCAAAAACATTTCATAGCCTTTGGATCGGCATCAAGAGTTGCGCGCCATTAAATTGGCCTATTGCCTTAGATAGGTATTCTATATAAATGTAAACCAATATGAGAAAAATTAGGCTAGGATATACGAAGTGTTTGAACCAAATGTGGTTCTTTTTCTTCCCACCAGGCGTCAACAGGAATTTTACTGTCAAAAGAGTGATTTTTATTTGCTCGAAATCAGGCGTGAAATAAAAAAAAGAAACTACGAGTCATCTTTTCATATCTTGCTTCGTTTGTTACAGCTCTTTCGGTCTATCAGCCGCCTCTTTTGATTTCTCTTCGTAGGAGGCCTTCTTCAGTTCTCCCCCCTCGTTCTTCTTTCTACCCAACTTCTTCTCCGAAGTCTCATATTTTCATCGTCCCAGTTTCCTTACCCTCGGAGAACCGGTCACGAGTTCCGACGAGGGGGAGTTCAGAAGGGAGAAAAGAATTCTATAAATATTCGGAGGAGAGAAAGGCAGTGGAAGTTGAAGGAGGAGGCCTCTTCTTTCCTCTTGGGAACTGTTATTCCAATTGCGAACCATCCTATTCTCAAGCTTCTGGTTCCACCGGAACGTACAGGTTTTCGTAGGGGAAGATCGCTGGTGCACCGGTTCGGGCACAGGTGCGTGTTCCGACCTTCTGCCCTTTACTCTTTCTGAGGTATCTTTCATGCTGTTCTTTTTTCCTGTATGGATCTTAGTTTACGAACTTGATGCTCGGGATTTGGCTCTCATTTAGTCCGTATTGTTCTTCCTGCCTTTTTCTGGATAGTTTCTCCTTAAGTGAATATTAAAAATGGTTCTGAAAAGTGGGAGAGTGTTGAAAAGGATCATAAAAAAGTAATTTTGTGATTGAATCTAATAGTTGGATTTTGGGGAGTAAGACACGTTAAAGATTCTGGTGCGATTATCCTGGAGGTTATGTTTATCCTTGTAGGTGTTATATATATATATTGTTTTTGTAAGATAGGTTTCTATGATTAGAACGGCAAAAACTATACTGGCTAATAGCGATTTGCGGTTGCAGATATGACAATGATGACAATTCTTAATTTCAAGTAAATCATAAAATTGGTCTGCAGAATTAATATTAGACTAAAAATTTTAAAGTACATAACAAATAATTTTTTTCTTTTTATTTTTTGATATGGGGGATGATTATTTTAGGGGCTATTTGGTTAGAAGTATTTAGGATCCTAATGTTTTTCGAGTGTAAATTAGATATACTGCATTTTAGCTTTTTAGGATTGTTTGATTGATTGTAAACAAAGTCATGAATTTCATTCAATGTGTTTGGTTAGATGTAAATAGGACAATGGAGAAAAAAGATTCATATAGTTGTTCCCATATAGTGGGATAAAGGCATGATGCTGTTGTTGTTGTATTTTGGTTGGATGTAAATAAAAGTCAATTCTAGGGCATAAACATATCGATATTGGGGAAGGCACGGTTTGGGATTGTTGGCAGGGTAGTAGTTAGGCATGGCAAGGTAGCATACAATGTTAATTTGGTGTTGCTAATTGCTATAGCAAGCTTAGGTGCTATGGAGAGTCTTAGTGCTGATCGTAGATGCCACAACAAAGTTGGTTGTCATTGATCAAGTTTGCTTGTTGTGAGGGTGAGGTCGAGCATCAACGAGGTCATGTTTGAGATCAAATGATTGCTTCCAAAGACGACATATTTAAAATTTGTCTGATTTGGACAAATTCATAATACCCCCTAAAATAGGCTTATAGGTGTATTCCAAACTTTTCTAATTATTACTTTGTATTTGTTTTACGTCAAATCAAACACTTTAATTCTCAAAAACCCAGGGAAATAGAATGAATGTGAAGTATTAGTAAAAAGAATGCTTAGATCAAATATAAGTATATAACATTACTAAAAATTATGCAAAATGTTAAGAGTTGACATGTCACGAAGAACTCAACATGAATGAATGGGGAAACAAATTCATAAATTTAATGTTAATTTGCTGTATGATGCTAATGAGCAACCATAATTATCATGCTTACATACAAATCCTCATTTTAATGGAGAACATTGAGTTCGTTTTGATATTAGTCTATGTTTTTTTCTAAGGTAATTGAAATTGGCCTAAATGTCCATGTATTGCTTTAACTTTGATTTTAATTTGTAATGTAGACGTTTCATGTGAACATTTTCTTTGAAGAATATATAGTTTTAATTATATAAGACCTAGAATTTGACTTGAAGATCAAATATCACAAAAACATTAAATGAGAATTTTGCTCATACTGATCTTGGATGAGTGGATAATAGCCATCTGGCCAGACTGAATTAAGCATGCTTGAGATTAGTTGAAATCATATGCATACATGTATGAATGTGATGGACCGGACCAGCCGGTCCATCCACCTTCAACACCGGCCCAAAAAGGGCCGGTTCTTGTTTACTGCAGGCGGAGAACCCGCCTGCCTGGGCGGTCGGCTGAAGGGAAAGAAGGGGGGCGGGTGGGCCCAAGGGGCCCACCAAATGAATAAGGGAGGGAATTTGGTTTGCCCTAGGGGTGTTTAGGGTATTTTGGAGGGGATCATGTGAGGGTTTAAGGGGAGTTAGGGTTTATTTTGGGGGCATCTTGTTTTGTGGTTGTTTTAGCTTTCTTCTTCTCTAGGGCTTGGGAGAAAGCTTCCCTTCTCGAATTGGGAGCATTGTATCCGTGGAAACTTGTAAGTCTTTTGATATTTGACTAAAGGAAGTGTTTGTGAGTGTTTTCATCCAAGAAATCTTCTTTTCTTCCACTATTTTTGGGCTATTTTCTTGGATTCCGAATTTTTGCAACTTAAGTTCCATCAGAATGTTTGTACGCAAATATTGATGTTAGCTTTTGTATGCTTGCATGTATGCATTTACATATCAAAATGGATGCATGTATGTATTTTGGAAGGTGAATTGTCTTGGAAGATTGAAATCAAATTAGTTTTTGAATGGAATCAAGCTTGAATTAAGTTTAATGGGTCAAGCTTTGCTTGAATCAAAATCAGATCAACCAGCCTATAGTTAAGCTGGGCTTGACTCAAGATCAGACCTAATGCTTTAAGGTGGGCTTAGGCACATTTCAGCCTAGCTTGAGATCATATCATAAAATCTCTTTATATGCCATGATCTGATTTTTTTGAAACTTATGCTTTCACTTTTGTACCTTGGAGAAGGTTAATGAGACATTTCAGTACATTTGTGAGCATTGTTTAATTTATAGGGAATCTTGTTCTTATGTGAATTCTCTGATATAAGCACAAAGTATTAAGAATATATCTAGGTATTACTGAAATAAGATTAAACCTTCCATGGGATCATCTGGTGGACTTATAAATGGAGCAATCGGTGTGTGCCATGAAAAAAATTGAATAATTATTTTGTTGAAATAAGTGATGACCAAGATGGGGGTGTAAAAGGTAAGGAATGATGGAGATAACTATTGAAAAGGGATAGCGTTAAAAGAGGAAAAAACTCCTTTAGTTTTATGCAAATCTTAGTTCTGTTCTATTTGGGATATGCAACTGAATATGCGCTCAGAAGGGGTGGGGGGCTTGTGCATTAGATGTTCCTTCTGTTCTATTTTAGCCTTATCACTAACTTAAGGAAAAACATCTATGGGCTTAAAAGATTTTGTATATTTTTCTTATAAACATCAATATGGATTATGGATGCAATTCAGATTAGAGGCATTTACATTTGCTGTTATGTCTCATTTCTCTATTAAATTAAATTTACATTCCTTCTCATTGTCCAAATTTTCTTTGTTAATTGTAATATTAAAATACTTAGTAGGTGAACTGTGCCTTTCTGCTTTGAATTGCTTATTATGGTAGAAATGTTACTCAATTCTATTTTAGATTGATTTTTTTAATTGAATTTTAGACTGCTTGGTAAATGAATTGATACCTTTATCTATCGAATTTCTTTTATGGAGGAAAGGTAAGTACAATGCTAGTTGTGAGTGAATTTTTTTCTTCTTGTCATTGCATATGATTGTGGGATAAAGGCTTGATGTTGTTGTTGTTGTTGTTTTGCTAGTGTCAGTGCATATGATCATTTCTTCCATCTTTTCTGGATACTTATGTTTCTTATCCAGGCTACGTCCATTTAACAAGCTTCTTATTTTGCAGGTTTTATTTCACCTTCTGCTACGTTTTTTTTTTTTTCACGATGGTCGAATTTATTTACTGAATATCCAGCAACTATGAACTTCCTGAACAATGTCAAGCTGCTCTTGGTTGGAAGTATGCCTGTGTCATTTTGAATTCAAATTTGGAAAGTTATGGCAAAGCTTGGCACTCTTGGACGCAGGTCTATATGCTGTGGATCTTCTGTACTCTTTTATACTTTTTCTTGTAACATACTATATTTCTTTTAAGAAAAATGCACTTTTTAGAAGATCAATTGCACCTCTGTACTCTTAACTATACCTTTTTCCTGTAATATACTATATTTCTTTTAAGAAAAATGCACTTTTAAGAAAAATGCACTTTTCAGAATATCATTGCTGTATGCTGATGGTGTGTTTTGTAGTGTTTTTAAAAGGGCGTCAAATGAGAGTATGAGGCTCCTTGTAACCACAGTAATAGGAGTTATGATTGGCCTTTTTATTGGAGTATCATTCCCTGCAGCGAACAAAACTAAGGCAAGGACAAATACTCTTCTTTTGATACTTTGCGTTGTTTCTGCAAAGTGCATGCTGATATGGGCGTATTCCTTTGGATTGGCAGCTTAATTTTCCTTCTAGCATTATTTCATATATTGAAGGCAAGAATTCAGGCATCACAACTGAATCCTGGATGACCCATGCTTGGACATCTGAGTTTGAAAATAATTCGAATGGCACCACAAAGGTATTTTTAGCTGTTGTCTAGTTATTTTATGAGCCAGCCTTCCCTATTTTTACTTGCGTGGAAAGAGTAGTTGCCTTGGAGCAAGACTTGGTTGCTATTACTGGTCCGCTTCATATTTATTCTAGTAGATGAATTTTTTTTTTATTGTTATAGGATCTACTTAGAAGCCTTCTAGTTTTTTTCCATGCCAACCTCTAGTTATTTCTTAAGACACTGTCATCAATTGGCCCTTAAACTCAGCCAGTTCACAAAAGTGTTATATGCCAATCTTGGCACATCAAGAGAGGTGTTAAACTAGATGTGCTATGGCACTTTAAAATTTCTATTGAAATCTTTCCCAACTCAAGAACCTCACAATAAACACAAAAGAAAAAACAATCAAATAACTAAATAAACTAGTACATAAGCATACATGTGTAGGTAATAATATATACAAGATATGCAAAATTTTAAAGTGATCAATATTAAGCACAATGTATATGATATAAAATTCAACTTAACTAGCATACTAATTTACATTCAAGTAAATCAACCTAATAGTGTGGCAACATATAAGTGATCAATAGCATATGATTGTAAAAAAACGTGAGTGTATAACTACTAAGCACAATACTATTGATTAACTCAATTATACAATCTATGATAGTTAAATAAATAAACACCAAGCGACACACAAATCTTTGCACAAACAACGAGTTGGTCTATGTTTTGTAGAGCAGTTAGATTATTAAGCACAAGATTAAGATTACTTAGCACTAGGCCATAAAAATACTAGCCTATGAATCACCAAATGAGTATTCAAACATTTAAAATAATTAAATGTGCAAGAATAAATATCTAACTAAATTTCAAAAGGATGCAAATATTTTTACATGGTTTGACAATCAACTGGCCTACATTCAAACTTAAATCCATTTGGATTATGATTCCACTAACACTAGATTCCGCTAGCAATATGTTCTCATCTTTAAACTGTCCCAAACATATTCTTAGTGGGTGAATAATACCCAACACAACGTACCCTTCTTAAGAGGCAAGTACCCAATGACTTTCCTTCACTAGTAAGGCCATCCAAATCTCTAAAACAAGAGAATAAACCATTTCAAAGTACTACATTTTCATAGTGAAAAAATAAATCATCAAAAATTATACTTGACAATCTATATAAATGATTGTATGCTAATACTAAGTAAAATAATACAGAAATTACATTTAAGATTGAGAGAGGTATTTAACCAAATCAATATTCAAGGAAAGCTTGAACATGACGGACATTGTCATGCTCCATTTTGATTCCTTTCAATCAAATATGAGATGTAGTAGAGGCGGATAATTTAGTCAGATATAATTTATGCCAAAACCCATCAATAATACAGAAACATGCATAGTTTAAATAATAAAAAATGAAGTACAAGATTTTTAATAAACTTCATCGATAATTAATAAATACTCAAAATCTTTAATTTACGTCATTATATTTTTTCTATAATATACCCAAAACTATATACCCAAATTACTAAGTTGAAGGATCTTCCCTTGCCTAAAATAATAGTTATAGTAATATTTGATGAGCTAAAAATTTTGTGGGATAATTAATTTTAATACAGGGTTTAAAATATAAGAAAAAGATAATATATGATATATTGATCATTTGAATTAATGAGTATTAGTAGTTATAAACATAGCTACCATAGTACAATAAACCTTAAATCAAGACATACTTTGATAATTAAATAAATAACACAATAATAAGTAATATGCATGAATGTATGAAAATAATGAAATATAACCGGCAAGGATCATTTAAGGCACTAAGTTAGGCAGCTATTAGTATCAAATTATTTGCTTTAATTTTATTTTCTATTCTCATTCTTACTTTTTAAAGTATTAGAATTATCATAAAATGAATGCAGAGGCTTTGACATATTTTTATCATATGGTTATCTTCTCTACTGTCAGCCTATTATCACCATTGATTAGTGTTGGACTTGCTCCAACATGATAGTTACTAATCACCTCTCAATAATGGTTAGACTTCCCAACATCAAAATTATTAAGAGTCAGGATGTTGGCTTCGAAAATTCATGCCCCGACCTCTTTCTAAAAGAGTTTAGGATGTTTTGGGTTAAATTTTAGAAGACATTAGATTTAAGATAAGAAATTATCCAGGGATTTTGTTCTCATTTTGTGAGGATTTTAATGATAAAGTTTCAGGTTTTCAATATACACAAGTTATTTTGGTTAATTACCCCTCCTGGTAAAAGGAGAGAACTTTCAATTAAGGTTAGTCGTTAGATAGGTACTAATTGCTTTGTGTATGTGGGCTCCGAAAATTCGGCCCCGGCCTCTGCCCGCTGTGTTTTTCTTTGGGGGAGTTTTAACGGATTTAAGTTCCGGGATAAATTTTGGGAAGACAGATATGTTTGTAGATAAGATACTACCCATAGATTTCGCCCTCATTTTGCAAGGACTTTATGATCTAAGTTCTGGTTTCCTATATGCGCAAGCCCCTATAATTAATTACCTCACCCGATCACGAGAGAAAACTTTCAATTAAGGCTAGTCGTCAATCAGATATATTGTATCCATAGATATGTAAAATTAGGCATATAATAGTAATATAGACATGATGTTTGGAAATGTTGAAGATTTGGCATTTAAAATTTAAAATTTTTACCATCTTGCACGTAAAGTAGATGGTGGGAGAATGGATGATGGACCTGATCAAGATCCCCTGGTTTAGTTGTCCCAGCCCATCGTGGTCCTTGGCTACTTAGTTAAAGGAGGTAGTCGACCCAACCTGACAGAAGGATCCTTGTCGGCAACCATGGGTTGCTTCGTCCAAGTGTACCTTGTAGACCTAGGTTGGATGTTTTTCTAAGGGGACAAATTTGAATTTACCTTAGCTAACAGAGAGCTTTGTGCCTTATCGATCATATCCTATTGATTCATATTTCAATGATTTGATGCCACTAAGGAACGTATTGGCTCTGGCCATAACCGCCATCTCGTGGTGCTATTTGGCGTTAAAACTACTCGGTTCAGAGGGCTCCGAGTCATAACCGTTTATCCTGTGATGCCATTTGGCGGCAAAATTGCCGGTTAAAGGACACGTACCACGTCCTTGCTGGCAGGTGATTATTTGAGAATGGATTCTAGTTATATTTTTGACTAAGCATTTAGCTCCATATGAGCTGAAATTACATTCGAATTTGTCCACCTTGACAAATTATTTCGGAGGGTGGATGGATTTTGATTTGAGTGCTTGATATTAATTTCAAATTTTAAACATTTTAGACTTTGATGATTTTTGGATTTTGGATGACATTTGTGCGGCATTTGAAATATTTGGAGTTAACCCCTCCGTTTGAGATCTGTATTCAACACGGTCATCATCGGGGTGACTTCGGAGTCACTTGAAAATATTTGAATTTTGTGAAAATTTGATGGCTTGAAAAGGTAGGATGATTTTGAGATTTTTTTTGGATTGCTTGGTATTTGGGTGACATTTTGAATTATTTGGAATGGACCCCTCCGGTTGTGATTTGCTTTCAACAAGGTCATCATTGGAGTGTTTGGGTTCATTCATGTTTTTTGTATTTTGTAGGAATTTAAGAGCATTTAAAAAGGTAGGTTCCCCTCTGGTTGAAATAAACGTTTAACATGGCCATCATCGGGGTGTATGGGGTATTTTGAGAATTTTATTTATAGATTGAACAGTGTCGACTCGGTCGAGTTATCTACAGAGGATCGGATTTAGTAGGCTTTATACCTTTGTTGATGAATTTCTTTTATTATAGATCTTGAAGGCCTTATATGAATGTATAAAACAGATATTTCGGTCGACACCTTGACCGTATATCTGCTTGATAATTCGAGCCGTGTCGACTCCTATATATTTATATAGAAGGATCGGGCTCGAGCTAGTTCATTTATTAAGCCGCGCAGCATCCCTAGACGTCACATGTGTACCCTTAACAAGCTCGACGGGGCCCATGCGGGTTTTATGATTGCACTTGCCCTTTTCGTGTACCTATGTGTATACAAACTAGGGTGCATGTGCAGGGCATTTTTGGAATATTTGACGCCACATAGTTGTACAGGCAACTATCTTTTGGATGGAGTATTTGATTTGGATTCTCGTACACGCCTTCTGTTTGCTTGCATAAATATTGCGGATCCGGGGGCGTGGCGTCATATTACGGTCATTTGCCCGTTGCATATAGGTAGACTGTCGTGCACAACTTGTTATTTTTTGCAGGTAGATTATAGTGCACTAACGAATCTCCTGCTTTTTTTGTAGATAATTGCATTCACATGATATTTTTGTTCGTGGTCATTGCCTTGCATACGAGTCTTCAAGAACTGACTGCAGGCATTTGAATTTGCTGTAGTTATTCTGCATTTTGCTTGTGGATGACACACTGGGCGTACAGTAAACCTTATATGATGACTCATAGGAACTTGCACTTGTTATAGTCCTTTGACATTCGTTCCTAGATAGTACGAGTCTTCAAGAACTGACTGCAGGCATTTGAATTTGCTGTAGTTATTCTGCATTTTGCTTGTGGATGACACACTGGGCGTACAGTAAACCTTCTATGATGACTCATAGGAACTTGCACTTGTTATAGTCCTTTGACATTCGTTCCTAAATAGTATGTAATGTTCATCGCGGGTCTTCTACAGAAGCTTGTAGGAGCTTGTATCTATTTCGCATCATCTGGTATTTGCTTGCAGATAACATGTAGTGTGTACGATAGGGATCCTACGGTAGTTTATAGGGACTTGCATTTCATGCTTGATCAACGAAGGTTGACATGGATGCTTCTATCATTGACATATGATTCGTAGCGTCTGCTGAGATATTCCTGTGCATCTACTAACAATTAGATTACATATCCTTGTTAGCTATCTTTGATCATTATTTGCATTTCAACTGACAATGATACCCTTTGAGCATTGTGGATTGACTAAATTTCACCATTCATTATGATTGA